ATGTTACGATTATAATCCAACATCATTTTTTTATAATAAAAAATGATGTTGGATTATAATCGTAACATGTACTAGCTAATATTGTAAAATCATTTTTTTATGTGTTTCACACCGTGTGAAAAATCAGTTGTGTAACTTCAACGTTTCCTCCTGTTCGTAATTCCAGCTAATAATTTTACTATAGCTCCTGCTAACCATTATAGGTAACCCTAACCCCGATGCATTCCGACCATTTCGACCCGAAAATTTGGGAATCCTCCTGTAAAAAAATCTTGAATCAATCTTGTAAATGTCCGGCTGTACAGCTCAAACCTACATAGAAAAATAAAGACCAAAAGGATTCATAAATTTATCTTCAAAAATATCTTTATATGCCACTAAAGTATCTTTTAATACGCCAATTAATTAATTTTACCAAAAAAAAAAAGGGGTATTATTTTACGAATTTAAATATACTGTAGTTCTAAGTTAAATTTTAATGCATTGGTTAAAAGATCTTTATTTAAATACTACCCTAGTCTTTTGTACTAGAGATGCGTAGAAACTATTCCAGCTTATGCCATAACTAGCTAAAGCTTATGTCACAACTGTTACGGTATAAGTCATAATAATTTTCTACTTTGTACTCATAAACTAGGAAGATCACGAACTTGAATAGCTTATTTAAACGGTCGATCAAGATTATTATACTCGACTGAATTAAACAAAATTAGATTAGTACAGTATAATATTCAGAATCATAAAAAAACTTGATTTACAGCTGTTTTCAGACAAATGAAAAATTTTCTGATGAACGAATCGATAAGTTACCGAGTCAGAATCAATAAGTAACTGACTTCTGCTGAATTCCGAAATTTATCGATTTGGTTATCTGTTGTTCCAGAATTTATGAGAACAGCTGTGAATGAAGTTTTATTTAACAAATTTTTGGCCAAAGTGCTCGTGTTTTAAGTTCGTTGATAATAGTTTTTGATATTGCATATAAACGGTTTGGTTTTAATGCTGCCTACTTAACAACAGAATCAAACAAATATATACGAGCAGTACAACCTTTTCGATTAATTATCCACACCTAAAGAATTTTCATTCTTTTTAAAGAGGGAATAGGCAATAGTATAAAATAATTTAATTTTATAACTGCTGTACTATTGAATAAACGTTAAGGCAATAACAGCTCAAGGGTTGTTCACATCATACTGTTACCTGGAACGTATTCTAGCCCTTAGTTCGAAGTTTTGAGTAGATATATATTTTAGCAATTACCAAGCCAAATTTAATAAAATTTTTTCAATAATCGTATAACTTAGAATTTGAATGAACCAATTTTCAATTTTTAAGATATTTTTTACTTGAAGTTTTAAAACATTTTGCTGAACTTTAATATTTATAAATTATTGGATAATATACAGTATATAAACTTATATATTATTAGTTTTATTGGACATACTATATTAATAGAATGAATATGGGTGATTCAATGTCTATATCCAGCAGTAAGTCGTTTCGTGAATCTGAATGCACCCCAGATTGGAATCGACCCGATTCAGAATTATTTTAGCAGAATTAAGACTTTAGGGTTAGTGTTTAGGGTTAGAATAGGGTTGTACGTATAACTTACTGTAAGTTATTTTTTAAAATGTAAGTTACCCATGTAAGGTAAGTTATATAAAAATTTCATCTTTTAATAACCTTAATGCCGGCTAAATTTATTCTAGTCGGCGTTAATACAAAGCCGGCCTACTTTACTATGATATATTTTGTAACTTACATAGGGTCATGTAACTTACGATGTAACTTACAATGTAAGTTATTACAACCCTAGGTTAGAATTAAGGTTTATAATAAAAATTTTTAATTTAGTTAGTATAATTCGGGGCCAAAATTACAAAATTCTCCTCGATTCTGAATCGAAACAGATTCCAATTCAATATAGCAGTTAAAAGTCCCTAAAAAAATCAGGTCTCCTTTTGCTGCAAATTTCCAATATCGATATATCAAATAAACGCTTAATATATTTCAGTAGCCATCTTTACCAAAACTGCTGGTGTATAATAAAGCATAGCCCCATAAATCCTGCTCTTTTGGGATAATCCTAATACGTACGTATAGGATTCAAAACCAAGCCATGATTTTCATTACCGTGAAGATCGTAATACGTAATAAATTTTAATTAAATCCTTTAAAATGTCAAATAAATAATGGTAATTTATCTTCCCATCAAAATTCGATGTTACGTAACTAAATTTAACGTTAATGAGCCTCCCGAACGCACGGGCATGTGACTCCAATCCTAAACCTCTAATGCTGGCCATATTGCTAATGCCGGCTGTGCAGCTCATAAGATCATGTGTTTGCTGCGTCTGCGCATTTTGTTTAAACTAGAACATGATAGAAATCGGAGACCGATCGATACGATTTGTTTTGTGATACTTTTGAACCAATCTTATCTTTTTATTGAGATCTATTAATAGAGAAGATCGTACTTATATAAGTGCTTAATAACTGACACAACCAAAAACTTCGAACTTTCGATCTGTAGTTTATTATTCTTAAAATCATGGCAGAATTAAAGAAAGTTAAGTTGACATCTTCAGAAGGGACAGAATTTATAGTCGACCGAAAAGTGGCAGAAAAATCAGTTCTATTGAAAAATATGTTGGAAGATGTCGGTGAAAGTGATATGGGTAAGAGTTGCAGCAGTTGTTATTCGTGATATAGACATAAAGCAATAGTAAAGGGGCGTTATCTTTAAATATTGAGAGACAAAGATTAATATTTAATCTATGTTTACTTATTAAAGGTGCGTTTTACTTGTAAGATATTTTGGAAAACCATACATTAGCAAATAAAAAAGAGAAAATTGAACAGATAATTCCAGACAGATAATTTGCAAAAACAGAATTCATATATGGGCTGAATTTTGGAATTACTATACACCCGTCTTCTTAAAAATGAATAACTTTGATCCATTGGATTTTACCGATTTTGTGCTCGCTGGAATCGTCCCATTAAGATGGCTTTTGTGGTTAAATCATCCAAAAAGGGTCAATTGATCCAGAGTTATTCACTTTCAAAGATATACATTATTAGTTGTAATTCCAAAATCAGTCGATATGTATCCAAAGGTTTAAAAATATAAAATTAACGAGATTTCATTTTTTATTATATCAAACATTAGCGATACCTTTACCAAACGTTACCGGACCTATTCTCAATAAAGTTATTGACTATTGCACACATCACCGAGATGATCCGTTCGTGAATCAAGAAGATGACAGCAAAAAAGTGAGCGATGATATTGATGATTGGGACGCAGAATTCTGCAAGGTGGATCAAGGAACATTATTCGAGTTGATTTTGGTGAGGTTTATTTTCAGCTGTTTTATTGCAAGTTGTATACATTATTATTATTATTGCTAATATGTATTTAATCCTTTACTTATTTAAAGTCTGCTAATTACCTTGACATCAAACCTCTCCTTGATCTTACTTGTAAAACTGTCGCCAACATGATTAAGGGAAAGACACCAGATGAAATTCGCAAAACTTTTAATATCATAAATGATTTTACACCAGAAGAAGAAGAACATGTCCGTAAAGAGAACGAATGGTGTGAAGAGCGATGATTTACATTTATCGTTATACATATATTTTTTTTCATTTTTGGGAAAAAAAAAGTTCTTAATATTTGATCATAATCCGATAGGTTTTGTTCCTTTTCCCTTTAGTATAAATATAGTATATGGTGTTTCTTTCACTTTTGTTCAATTTTATTTTTTCTTTGATCCTGGTTCGATCAATATGAATAAATTAATGGCATATTGTCAAAATAAACATATCTTTTGCGTAACATCAAATGCATGAATCTGTTTATTGAAATGAATCAAATATATTAGATTGTTACACTGAATGTATTTGTATATGCACAGAATATTCATCATACAAAGACTTAAGAAACAACGGACATAACGGATATTTGAAATTGACACCAAAATACACTAAAATATTAAACAAATTAATCTTTCACATTTTCATATTGCTTAGAGGGTGATTCAAGACCTTTTCGGTTTTCAAAGAATCCCTTATTGATAGTTAAAAGCTATATTTTTTATAAAATAACGTTTCATTCAACATAATGATAATGATGAAAATAGAATGACATTCATATAAGAACGCATACTTTCGGATTTTCATGCTGTTGAACATTGTTCCAAGGTAGCGGGTGACCAATCCTGTTGACCATCACTTCCGGACTGTGTCGCAAAGTGTACATTGCGTACCTATTATTTTTGATCGAATTTATAACTATTAAAAAAAAAAGTGACATCATCCAATCGCAAGACTTATGATAAATAAGTGTATTTTATAAACATGTGTTTTAAACATTTAAAACATTAAACAATTACGAAATATACAATTAAACGGTTTCATTTTTAAATCATAAATAATTTTAAATATCAACTAATCCTTAATAAACTAATAGTAAAAAACACTTACAAGAAACCACCCCCAACACCACCGCCACAGGCGACAAATAGAGGAATGAGCTGTATACAGAAGTCAATAGATGACCAATTAAAATCGTTAAAAACACGTAATATTGAAAATATATAAGGATACAAAATTGTTAATCTAAACACATACGGCCGGATTCTTAGAGAAAAAAGTAAAATATGAAGACATAATTAATACGTAACAATTTTTTTTAAAATCAATATGGAAGGGAAAATTGTGTGAGAATTCAAATGTTTAGCACTTTTTATAGTGTATACCACAATTCATGTGATATGTTTTGCCATCGACTTTAAAAAAATCTTAAACGTTACACACGTTTAAAAATACCAAATGTACGTATCGATACGTAGTAATTTCATAATTACAATATAATTGGTGTTCGAAGCACAAAAATGTTAGTGAAACGGAACATGTAAATCAATCATTTCTTTTTATAATGCATAAATTTATGCACACTCATGAGTTCTTAACTTTGGTTCAGTCTAAAAAGAAATCTTAATGTGTCTAAAGATAACAATTTGTATAAATATTACCGGTTTGGTTGGTGCATTTATTAGGTTAGCCTAGTAGTACAACCGAGGGCGTACAGGTTTCCTTAAACCTCATAGTCCCAAGCCACTTCTCTTTTTACCATATTTATACCGTATTCGTACTTTTAAGCTATTTGTTTAAAGATAAAAGGCCTTCTATCCATCCAACTTTATTACTCTCTTTCGTCACAAGCAAAACCTGTTTACCTTCTTCCTATTTCTTCTTATTATTACATCTAATTACATCTTACTATTCCCCCTACTGATCAAATTATTTCTGCAATCTCTCTACTCTCAATATTAAAATGCCTGCCGACGAGCAACAAAAAAAACCAACCGGTTATATTGGTAACTTAACTCCTCAACAAGAGGAAACTTTGACAAAGTTTCGTAGTGAATTAGATCAAGAGGGTGTTTTTGACGCAAGTCGTCATGATGATGCTTGTCTGCTTCGATTTTTACGTGCTAGAAAGTTTGACCTTGTTAAAGCTAAAAAAATGTTTGTAGATTGTGAAAAATGGAGGAAAGATTTTGGGGTTGATGAGTTGGTCAAAACTTTCGATTACAAAGAACGAGATGAAGTAATGAAACATTACCCTCGATATTATCACAAGACAGACAAGGAAGGACGCCCAATTTACATTGAAGAAATTGGGAGAATGGATGTGAAAGCCTTGTACCAAATTACTACCCTTGAACGTCAAATGCAAAATTTGGTCGTCGAATATGAGAGACTTGCAAATTCAAGACTTCCTGCTTGCTCTAAAATAAGTGGAAAACACATCGAAACTTCTTGTACCATCCTTGATCTTAAAGGCGTTTCCCTACGTTCTTTTGCGAGTGTATCCAGTTTCGTTAAACAAGCATCAAATATTGGTCAAAATTATTATCCAGAACGCATGGGAAAATTCTATATTATTAATGCTCCTATGCTTTTCTCTTCTGTATGGGGTTTTGTAAGACCTTTATTGGACGAAGTCACTGCTGCAAAAATTGTCATCTTAGGTTCTAAATATAAGCAAACATTGTTGGATAATATCCCTGCTGAAAATCTACCTACTGCCTTTGGTGGTACATTTGAATGCCCAGGAGGCTGCCAACTTAGTGATGCAGGTCCATGGAATGAGGGGAATGTGCATGAAAATGGTCATGCGCATGAAAATTAGGGTTTCTACCCACCCACCTTTTTTTTTTTTTTGAATTTGACATTATTACATAATTTGGGTTTCTACTTCATTTGAACAATTACCAAACCCCAAATATATGCTCATTTTCAGTTAATAAAATTTGTTAAACCAATACCATAATTATTAAACTTCATTATTTTAAGAACCCAAGAGTGATTTAGCAGCTAAACAGGTATATTGGGAGATTGTACAGATAGTTCTCGATGATTATATGATACAGATGGCTTGAGGGCCATCTGTATCATATAATCATCGGAGAACTCTCTGTATTTATTTTCATCTCATCATCTTCTCACTGGAAATAATCCTACCTTACATTGCTTAAGTTTACCTTCATTATAATTTTCACCAAGTGATAATTTTTTTTTCTGGTCCCGATTCCTCTTTTTCTCGTTTTTCTCTTTATATTAGAAAAGTATTTTTTTTGTACATATCAAAGACTAAATACTTTATTTACTTATGCCAAGCATTGAACATTCATATATTTTTATTATGGAGAGCCACGGGAAAATGTTAGAAGGGACTTGTTTAATTTTTGATTTATAAATTTTTTAATACTTTCGATGTATCGGTTTTATTTTTTCCTTTGATTTACACATTTTATCGTGGAGATCGAACAATTTTATTTTTATTTTATTTTGTAACAAAAATATAGAATAATACGTCCAATTAAAACTGGTTACATCCATTAAACAAATATAAACCAATGTGATAAATCAAGGTTTTCTTTTGTGTTCCCTCTTTGGCTCTATGAATTTGTGCAACCATCTATTAAACGGTTATTGATTACCGAGCGATGAGATGACTTCAATGATCTTCTACCTTATTTTTTTTTCTTTTCCACATAAAGTTACTTTTTTTTTGATTATGTAAATACAGAAATATTCGATGGCATATCCGGTTTAAAACCGATTAACATATCGGATATTGCTATACAGTCAACCTCCTTAACATCCTCCATTAATGCACATTCACGTGATTTTACCTCCATTATTTCTTTATTTGATCAAAAATTTATTAAGTTCGGGCTTAAACCTCCATAAGTGCATTTAAAGCAGTAAAAAAAATGGCTTTGTAGCTTTATACGCAGCCGTAGTATGTACGTACGTACATTGAACCATCGGGCATTTAAAAAAATGCAATCCCGTATATAAAAATTGCCATATCATTGATTAACTTTAATTAAATTTACATTTATTATATATACATAGTATATCCCCCAATGTAGCATGTGATGTATACACCATCGAAATCTCTGTATGAGCCGTACAGGAGTACTTTATCAGCTTTAAAAATTTTTATAAATCAAATTTTGAAAAGTTGTCACGAAAGAAACGAATATGACAAAAGTGCCAATAGTTTATCACCAGGGATATAATATTGCCTTCTGGCACCTTGAAAAGGTCTGTGGATCTAATACAATTTATTCAAAATTACAAAAAAAAAAAACCTGGTTTACCAATCTTTGTCTTTTTTCCAGGTTCATCCCTTTGATACACAAAAATATAAACGCATTCATAGAATTCTTATCTCAAATGGTATTTTTGATTTAAACTCTTTTTATGAACCTTCACCACCGACTCAACTTGATTTAGCCAACCTTCATTCCACTCAGTACCTTGATTCCTTAAATAGTAGCTCTCAGCTACAAAAAATTTTAGAGGTACCGTTTGTGGCAATGTTACCAAATGTTTTATTAAAGAAAAAAATTTTGGATCCTATGCTATTACAAACTGGAGGAAGTGTTTTAGCTGCAGGTGACTTTTATACCTTTAAAAATCGTAAATTGATGTTGTCTTTATCACCTCTGAAATTTAACATTTAATTTTATCTTTTTAAATATAAGAACTGGCATTGGATTACGGTTGGGGAATTAATTTAGGGGGTAGATTATTTACAATTTTATTTTGATTTTATTTTATTTTATTTTTTTCTAATTCATTCATTGTATATTTTATTTAGGTGGTTTTCATCATGCACATCATGATGGAGGTGGTGGTTTTTGTGTCTATGCGGATATTACTTTAATGGTAGAAACAATACTAAGCAAATATCCAAACAAGGTTTCAAGAGTTATGATTGTAGATTTAGATGCTCATCAGGTACTTAATTTGTAATTAATAATCTTTTCTTTTTCACTTATTCTAAATATATATATATTTATCCAATTAGGGAAATGGACACGAGCGTGATCTAGCCAATAATTCTAAAGTCCATATTGTAGACGCATTTAATTCTCATATTTACCCTCAGGATGACGAAGCTTTTGCATATACTCCAACACCAATCCCATTGTCAACTCCTGATCTTAGACATGATGACAAGTATCTTCCCTTAATTCAATCAAATATATTTCAATCATTTCACAAATTTCGTAAGTTTTATCAATCAATCAATATGATTTTTATTATTCAGGCTTTTCTTTTTTTCTTACATAAACTTTTTTTATTCAGATCCCAATTTTGTTATCTATAATGCTGGAACGGATTGTCTAGAAGGTGATCCATTGGGGGCTATGAATCTTTCTTCAGATGCGATTTTAAAAAGAGATGAACTTGTTTTTCGAATGGCACTAGATCATGGAATTCCTATTGCTATGGTTTTGAGTGGTGGATATCAGAAAAAAAATGCTGAAATTATTGCATCAAGTATTCTAAACTTAATTAAGAAATTTGATCTGGTAGGAAAATGTAAAAAATCTGATAAAGGTCCCAACCCAACTTAAAAGTTACATCAATCAGGCTGAGTTATTTTAATTTAAATAAATAATAATAATAATGTACTGTATTATAATATATATATATTATCGTTAATCTTTAAATTAAATTCGAATTTCTTAGCAAATATTCCAAATAATTATTATCATCAATATGTAAATATATATTAGTTTTTTAGTTTTTTAATATTGCTGGCCAATAATATAATGAATTTGGTTTTATCAAATTGAATTGTTTGAAATAAAGATTAGATTTATTAGTGATCTTGCTGATCAAAATTTATTTTTTTTATAAAAGCTAAATAGGGTGTAACTTTTTACCAAAACATTCTTAATAAAAAATTTTAGCAAATCTAAAAATTATTAACAAAATTCTAAAATGTCTGTATTATTATATATAGCCACACCTTCTAAATACTATATATACTGTATATATTCTTTAAATACAAGTACTATTTAGAACTTTTATAAATGCATAATATAGTCTGGTTTTAATTATAAACTTTGTAAATTCTATTTTATAAATACAGTATTTTTTAAAATATTTTACTATAATTTTTTAAAAAAAACATAACTATAGTATGTAAAATATTTATAATTTATTATATAGTATATACTGTATATACTGTAGTACTTATTATAAATCTTTATGATTTTAATCTTGTTAAAATTTTTTATAATTAAATTATTTAAATTAGTTTAGTATATCAAAGTTATTTATTATCGTATTAAACCTTATTAATAAATTTATAATTTAGATTTAAAAAAAACTTTTTTGATTTTTAGCCAAAACTTAATGATTCTAATAAGAATTATATCTAATACTTTAGCTAATACACTTTTCTATTTCTAATTATATAGTTACTTTTTAAAAGCTCTCCAATATTAATAAAGTAAACTTAAAAATTAAGTAAATTTATTATTAAAAGTATTAGTTGGTTATATTATGCAATATACAGTACATGTAACTGGTTGTAATTACAGTATAATCATAATTAATAAATCTTCAGACCAAGATCATCTTCAAAAAAAATAAAATAAAATAAAATTTTTAATCTGCATTAAAATTTATTTTCTTATGAGTATATGTACATGACTTTATTGTAATCATTTTGATCTATTAATAGTAGCTACTATATGTGCACTTTTATTGATTAAAATTACGATGTGTTTATTCAACGGGACCATTCATCTGGTGGATTTCTTGGCTGGTTTAGGTTTAACATCATCATCTTTGACAGCATGCAAAAAGATAGCGTTTTTGTTTGTTGATGGATATTGCAAATACCCTTTACTCCAATCATAACTAGCTGCGTATGTAAAGATAGTACCATTACGATTGAACGTAGTAGCAGAAATAGGTGCGCCGACTGAATTGAACCCCTTTAATCGTTGTTTGGAATCTTTATCCCAAAAGTTATATGTGCCATCACTACCAGCGGTTGAGAAAGTACCATATATTGGATGGAAAGAAATTGCATTGACAGAGTACACGTTGTTCCCGTCACGATGGCATTTAAATGAAAAGCTCGTGCTAATTTAAACGAGTAAATATAAGAGTTTGTTTGTTCGAAAGAATAAATAATAAGTACGTATAAATGGATCATAACTTACTTGTTATCTTTTTCTTCAATATATTGGATTCCTACCCTCCCTTCTATACTTCCTATAGCATAACCATTGCCACTCGGAAAGCAAGAAATACATCGCGTTTGGAATTTCAGTGGGCTTTGATTAGTCTTAATTAAAATATGTAAAATTACAATTAATATCATTAATTACATATATCAAAGAATGTTTTGAAATTGAAATTTATACAAACTTTATAAGGAGTTGATGGATGCCCCAGATTGTATATTTGAACATGTCTGTCCGCTGTTCCAACAACCATTAATGGATAAATGACATCCATTGCATAGCATCGCTCTGGAAGAGCAACAGTTAACACGGGTGACGGGGATCGCATGTCCCAATACTATGGCAATTTTGTAACGATATAATTTATAATTAAAATAATGAATTTAATAAGATTGATTGCGTATTTAAGATAACTAACCTTTATTGTTTTGTCCCAACTACCGGTGGCTACAAGATTAGCCTGATCAACATATTTGATACATCGAATGGGTTGATCATGTAAGGCAATTTGTGTGGATTGTTGTGTAGTAGTGTCGAAGCAACGACCTGCATTATCTGCACCACCTGAGACAACTTTAGATCCATCCTAAATCCAAGTAATGGAGAATTAATTATTATTTGAAATATACGGAAAAATTAAAAATAAAACTTTACATACTTTACTCCAAGCACAACACAATGCTGGCTTTTCGTGACTATAGATAGCTTTTCCTGTAGCATTTCCAGCAGCTACATTAACTTCATAAATCCTGACCTATTAACGAATAATAAAGCCGCTATGAATAAAGATATTGATATGATATGATATTATACGTAGCGTTACCCACATTATTATCCCAAGAACTAACTGCCAAATAGTCTGCTACTGGTGAGAATGCCAGGCACGAAATTCCATCAGTTGGAGGCTGTGGCACCTATATTTTCATGAAATCGTCTTTTCAAGTTTAAGCTTACAACGACAAAGTGCAACAGTATAAAAAATTAAATAATTCTGACCTCGTAGTCTTTAGGAGTCTCCGTGCTTAGCATACCGGTATTAGGTCTGAACGCCAGTTTTTCAAATTTTATTGTTGGTTAGATTATAATTGCTGCGTTAACGTAACCCTCAATAGAATTCGTATTTAATCGCTTTTGAAACCTTTTTATACTTATATATATTTGGTGAAAGCTGTTAAACTATTCGATCTAATATTTATGTCGATCGTTTTTATATGGAACGGTCGGACCCGATGATTTTCTGCGGTCAGTTCACGTCCGCGATAAAATCAAGTTTTCACGTTATTTATGGGTGAGTTTACAAAATGCATCTGTGGTGCTAAACACCATAGGTGCTATTTCTCAAAAACGTACTAAGTAATTAAGGTCGGGGTTATAAATGTTCAGGACCTTAACTTGGATCTTTATAACCTTTATATGAAAACTTTATTATGTTATAAGCCTTTATTTTATATTAAAAATGCACTTTAATTTTAAAAACAATTATACTGTATATACTGTAGTCAGTATTGTTATTGGACATGGTTAATTGGACATAAGGCTAAAAGAGCTAATAAATTTGGATTGGACTTTATAAGTCCAATTGGCCTAATAATTAAAAAAGATTTTTTATAATTATAATTATTAATAAACAAGTCAGTATGGTATAGACGACTAGCACCATTCTAACAATATCAATATATTAAAACTTTAAAATCAAAATACTTTATCTGTTATTGTAATTTGGTTAAATATTTCAAATTTAATAATTAATCATTAACCTTTTATATGCTACTGTATAGATTCTCACATGTTTATATAATACCAAAAAAACTAACAAAATACAATTCGTGGTTGGTTACTTCTACAGTATCAAGGGTTTCTGTAAAAAATTTTATCTGTTACAGGATTTGCTATTTTAATCAGGCATAATGTGTATCATGACTTCTACCATGAGCTAAAGTAAAACTTGCTATTAGAATTAAAGAATTCACTATTCTAGTGAGACATAGTATGTAGGTAAGGTCGAGTTAATTCGCATCAGAATTATTGTGACTTCTACCATGGAGCTACAGTAAAACTTGCTATTCCAGTGACTATAGTTTGTAGTTAAAGTTGAGTTAATTAGTATTGTAATTTCTATTGAGTTGCTGTAAAAAAATTCTGTTACAAAGCTTACTCGCCACTCTGGTCATCATAATATGTTGTGAGCTAGTTTGCATTAAATTATCGGAATTTTCATTATGAGTTGTAGTAAAATATCCTGTTAAAAAATTCGCTACTTCAGTGAGACATGGTATATAGTCAAGATCAAATTAATTTTGATTGGAATTATTGTGATTTCTATCATGAATTACTGTAAAAAAATTCTGTTACAGAATTTACTATGGTAATACAGTATATGGATATTATTAACATATCTATATCCCAGTTTTCGCATAATGCATGAAAATAAATTATAAAATCCAAGAACCTATAGTAAAGCAAACTACAATATAGTTTAATCAAGCAAACAAACTATAGCTCCAAATGCAATAACTGGTCAGGCTTTCATAGTGTTGGTAAACCAATTCCTTATTTTCGCAATTTTGGAATTTGAATATGATCATTTAAGTAATAACTTATCGCATTTGTTGGCGTGCAAAAGCTTTCCTATAAATTATAAAATACGTGTCATGATCTTTTTAGACCAGCAGATCATAATGAAATCGGATTAAAATGAAACTGGGGACCTTTCTTGCTCATCTTTAAAGCTTATAAAACTCACTTATACTCTTATTAATAAAACTAACTCTAAATCCACCCTAACCCTAAAAAATGTCCCCAAAAAATTTTAAATTTTCCTAAAAAAATAGAAAAATTTCATTTTAATCCGATTTCATTAATCTGCCACATTTATTATCAAAGGCAAGATACTTATATACGAAAGTACAGTATTAATTTTGATTTCTACTGGTACGTGTTTTAAGTGAAAAAGAGTAATTAACTTTTTTAACATGCACGATAACTAATACAGTATTATACAGTATATACATCATTTATATACATCATTAATTAAATTGACTACTCTCCGATACTGCTACGTAGCTAACTAATTCTGCAGAGTTTAATTAGTATACCAATCGAACCACATGATTACAACACTAAACATATACCCAAGAGACAAGTATCCTCTTTTTCTTTATTAAATTAGATATATGTCCAATTAATTAGCCAGTTGCCCAATTTAGCCCTATGTCCAATTGGACATGAGGGCTAGGGCTAATAATTTTTATTAGACTTAAGGCAAGTAACAACACTAAGTGGAATATCGGCTGAATAAAATAAAGAAGATTTGAGTTACGATCACCCGGAATATTAGATATTAATTCAGCCTCTTTCACAAAAATATTTCCAAATGCCCGTAAATGTTTTAATTTATCTGATAAATTCTCAATTCCGAAACCATTATTCGAGTACGCAACATTTGCTACGACTCTCAGCTTTTATCCTGAGGGTAATGATAAAATTGATGAGGTAATAGATACGCGCGGCTCAAATTGCCCGATAAATGCAACTGAAGCCGCCAAAATTTCGTTGTTCCTCCAGAAAATAAACCATTAAAGATTATCTGTGAGGATTTTGTTAGAAAAGAATTTATTTTTGAAAATGCCCCTATTTTTCTGGCAATGCGAGGTTTGGTGAATTTTTAGATGGTCCAGAGAAATTGCAAATAATAACAAATCAAATGCTAGCATCGTTGAGTCGATCGTCGAAATGGAAGTTGTATAGTGCAGAGCGAAAAGGGTCTTTGAAAAGCGCTTGTCGACCTGATTACATGGCCGTTGCTGAAATAAAAAATAAGTCTATTGAGATCAGATACCTTAAAACTGGTAGACCTAATTCTTCTCTAGACAAACAACTTCGAGACTACAATAAACTCAACAGGCTCGCAAAAGATTCAATAAACGAAACATGGTGGCCAAAAATAATAGGTTCTTTAGAGGAACAGCGATAAAAACTATGCTGACTATTATCAAAACAATAATAATAATGACACCAAATAAATTTCAGATATGGGCATGTGCACTTTAAGAGTAACTGAGAAACAACGATATTTACCATTAATGTGGCTGGAAGTGCGTTATGAAATTCAAAGCATACACAGAGAAGGGTGTATATATAAGAGCTGTTTACTCAATCGGGCAAAATTACCCCATCTATAGAACCTAAAGAGCATTGTTAAGTTTTAGAACAGCAATTGCATGCACCCTGCGAAATTTATTATATGACACTGGATAAATGATATCGATGGATATCAGTGTCATCACAAACTTCAACACCAACAGCTGATTCTCCATCACAGCCTTCGACACCAACAGTTGGTCCCCATCACGATCGACATCGATGCACGTACCAGAGAAAAGGAAATCTAAACGGTTTAAAAAATCCTAAAACTAATAATTTTATATCTCTATTTTTATATCAATAAAGCTGGCCCTAATGGCCGATTTCGCATACATAATCGTGTTGTGTATTTTGTGAATTTGGTTTATTGTATTGTTATCGATATATAATAAATGTATAATAACCTGCATATTAACTCATATATTTGATCGAAACTTTTCTTGTAAATTTTTGACTGGGGCGCCCCGGCTGAAATTTTATCATGTCTTATTGTACAAATTGCTTTAAATTTTGTATACTAAAATTAGTAAATTATACACAAGGCAGCTAGTGTCTTTAAAACCAACTTAATTGATATTATATAAAAATTTATGTTGTTGATATTTGAATAATTGATAAATACTGATACAAAAAATGATGTTATTATCGGGAGCCCCCACAGTTGTGATTGGATGCATGAAATCCCGTCTTTAATTGGACAAACTTGTTCATGCCATTGTCACATTTTTCTTCAAAAAAAAACATATGGGGGGGAGTCAACAGAATCCAGGCAAATTACAATTTTTTAAAAATTTAAATTTTATATTTAAAAGATAGAACTAAATCTAAAGATTATTTTGTATTTAATAATAAACTTCGACTTTTTTAATATAATTTTAAGAGAAACTAATTTAAGTTTTTTTAGTATCACCAAACGATATCGATTTGACAGTCCGATTGTAGATCATTTTATTTCGATTTAACAGCCCGATTGTAGATCATTTTTTATGTCGATTCAATAGAATTCAGGCAAAATCTAAAAATAGATTTTGTAAAAAAATTTTATCTGCGTATCATAGGAGGACTTTCATATGATTGGCTGATGTAAATCAATTGCCCGGGTAACTTATTTATACACTTTAAAGTACTT